GTACAGAAGTGAGGGGCTACCGGAGAGAAGACTGGCGGCAGCCATTCATAACGTAGCGTAAAAGCCTCATGCCGCTCCAGGCTGGTCTGTGCTTATTTGCGTGTGGGTCCCAGCCTCAGATGCTGAAGCGAACCCTGCTGCCTCTGAGAATTCATTTTTGGTTTGGTTTGGCATTAGCAGCTCGAGCTGTTTTAGCTCCGTGTTCGCGCCGCGTGATGACGTTAACATCCCGTGAAAATGGCGGTGGGCGGGTTGGAGAGCGGCATGTTTCGGACGGCACGACTCGGCCGACAGATCTACACAGAGCAGGTGCGCCACCATCAGACGGGGCGATTTGATTTGGCTGTTTACATTCTGCATTTAGGTTACATCAATCCCACCCTCCTTTCATCCATTGCCCTCGGCCGTCCCACCAAAGCCAGGTGCTGCAGTGAGGGCAGCTAGACCAGGTGCTGGTGACCTGTCCCAGGCAGTGGGATGCCGTGGGATCAGGGCTCCAACATGAACGGTGACTCCTTGCAGCTTGGGAGTAACTCTGGGATGGTAGAAAATGCATCTGACTCCTGGGCAATAGCTAGGCGGTGTGGGGGGGGGAGGGGGAACAGGGGCATAGCCACACACAGCCCCTTTGGGCTACCTCCCTAAGTAACAGAAGCCAAAGGACACCTCTGACCCTGCGACTGAATTAGGTAACGTCTCTCTCTTTTTCCCCAGTGCGATCAATACAAGAAGGGGATCATTTCTGGCTCAACATGCAAAGACTTGTGCGAAGAGCACACCCTGGTGTTCCAGCAGTGTCTGTCTTCATCCCCCTCTCAGCAGGTAGGTTGGTCTGGCTGGCTGAGCCCTGGGAACTTAGCGTGGGGCGTGAAGGAGTCTCTGTGCCCCTCTATGATAGCAACATGCCACGCACCCTCTGCTCCTCATAGTCTGTTTTGTGGCAGGGCTGGCCCACAACATTTTGGCCCTTGAGGCGGGGAGCTCAAATGGCGCCCCCAGGCCCCTTTTCTCCTGCCTTCCTGTTATGGCTCTTGTGCCCTCCTTCCCCCAGTACAGCACGCCACCATCTCTCTGCTCTAGATGCACAGAGAATACATATGCATCTGCAGCAGACAATTTTCTACACTCTGGGTCCTAGAGGCGCCCCCCCTACCTCATTTCGCTTCATGGCAAGGCCAGCCCTGGCCAGTGGGGTGGGGGGTAAACACACAGGTGTCTAGTGCTTCAAAGGGGCCTGGAGCACCAGGCCACCAGCAGCAGTGATTGGGAGCCCCGGGGCCCTTTGAAACGCCATGGGAGCACCGCTGTGCCGCTCTGAGGACGGTGGGGGTGGGGAAGAGTCCAGCACCGCGCTCTGGGCAGCACCTGTAAGGGCTGAGTGCTCTTGGCCCCGCCCCTTCCACCCGAGGCTCTGCTCTGTGAGCAGACTCAGGCCCCCCACATTTTGCCCCGGGACCTGCGATGACTGCCAGCCCCACTGCCTGTCCCCCCACCCCATTCTTCCCACAACTGGCTTTTGCTTGGGAGGGCTGAGCTGAGCTCTTAGCGACCTCAGTCGATGCAGCTTTCTTCTGGAGCTGCAGGCCAGTCTGTATTGCTAGGCAACCGCATCATCTCCTGGCCAATCAAAGCAGGGAAAGGGGGGAAACTATGCAGGCCTGGGGTAGGCAATAAGCAGCCCATGGACCAGATGCGATTTGCTGGGGTTAGCCCTGGCGGGCTGCTGATCTGCATATCCGCAGAAACAGCTGCTTGCAGCTGCAGTTCACTGTGGCTGGCCAATGGGAGTTGCACATGGCCGTACCTGTAGACACACAGGTAAATCAAGCATCCAGCGGCTCACGAGGGGCGAACTGTGTCCGGCCCGTGGGCCATTTATTGCCCTCCCCTGATGTAGGCCCTGATCCAAAGTCCGTCAACGTTACTACGAGCCATTCTTATGACTTTGGATCAGGCCCTTGGAGATGAGGCAGCCTTTCCCCCTCCTCACCCGCCCGCTTTGCGTGACCTCTGGCGGGGGTGGCATTGACAAGAAATAATTGCTGTAGGAAGGCCATTGGGAGGGTGGGGATGCACAGCTCCCCTGAACTCGCTGGAGTTGGCACCCAAGATCCCTGTTAAATAAAATGGAGAAGGCTTGATGCAATGCTGGGCCCCTGTGCCTAGCTGCTGGGGTAGCTCCTTGGGGCTGCTTTTCAGTCCCCAAGAGCCCCCAGCACTCCTCCATATGGGCTGCTTCAGTAGAAAGGCCAAGGACTGCACAGGCCGTCCAGACCCCTCCTCTTCCTTCCTGAGGACGCCTGTCCTGCCTGTTCCACAGACGATGGGCTGTATGGCTGTCAACCCACCAGCTTCCTGTTCACCAACAGTGAACTAACTGAGATTGGTAGAAGGAATCGCAATGATTTCACCCAGAGGGCCTCCACCTTTACTGGGCTCTCCTGGGAACCGTTCAGGAACCCACCGCTAACTGACTGAACACAAATGCAAGTCTTCCCATGGTCACTTACTTCTTCTTTGGTCCAGGTGTACAGGGGGCTCTGGAAGGAGAAAGAAGTCATCATTAAATGCGGTATCGAAGACGCCTTCAAGGCAGACAGCAACCCTGACGCAGTGCCCAGGAGGGACCTGGTTCTCTTTGACAAGCCGACAAGAGGGACATCTATGGACGAATTCAGAGAGATGCTCCTAAACTTCCTAAAAGTCAGTGCTGCTGAGGCTCTTGCATTGTTTTTCAGGACATGGCCTTGCCCTCTTGATCCCCTGTCATGCTTGAAAAGATCCAGTTCTGTCTGCAGGGCTCTGAGCTCCACTGTTTTAGCGTGAGATTCCATGTGATGTTCAAGATCATTCCCAGAGCAGATACTGTAGGAACCGTTAGGGAAGGATACATAGCAAACAAAATCCGCTTGTTAGGTGAGAGGGCACATTTCATTCTCATTTTGGAACTCTATTTGCAAGACAGTCCCCCGCAGTCAGTCACAAAGGCGCTTAAGCTGCAATCTCTGTTGATTTCAATGCAAATTAGGAGATTAAATAGCTTTAAGGATCTGGGTGAAAGGCGCTCTTTGGCTCTACTCATCAACACTGCTAGTACAGACGGAGCACTAGGCAACGTACTACACACATTTATATAGTCCAGGTCAGCAGTCTTGTCAAACCAAAGAGCCAACCTACATCAAAATTCAGAACAAGTGGTCAACAAAGAGCTATAGAAGCCATTTGCATGACTGAAAATATACAAATTAATATTATGATGATTAATAAGAGCATAAACGAAACATTGTACTCACAGAGTTTATTTAGTGGGTCTTCTGATGCTACAACTTTTTGTGCATTTCTTTGACGTTTACATCGTAACTGATCAAATACAGGTTCATGCACAAATTCAATCTACATGAGTAATTACGCGTTTTTAAAATTTTGAATTTTTCATTTTAATTTAAAAAATTGTGTGTATTTTGGGAATGACTAAAGAGCCATACTTAATTCCATACTGAGACATATTTGGCTCAAGAGCAATAAGCTGCAGACTCCTGATAATAGACATTGAGAGAACTTTATTACTGTTTTTTAATGCAATGCTACTGGGGAATTATTCTATTTTGAATTTATATATCGGTCCTAAGCACTTATAGATCTTTTAAAATACCCTGAGTCTGTATTTAACTTTATTGAACATTTTCACGGAATGTATTCGTTTTCCCCATTTTCAAGGTGTTTTTTTTTAAATGTTGAATTAAAATGAACCCCGCAACCACACTGATCAAAAACGTTTTAAAAAGCATTCCCTGAAAAAATGGAAACTGAATTAAACGATGCAAAAAATCCCAAAGTAAAAACTTTTTACTTCCAGCCAATTTTACTTTTTTTCGGATTGCCTGTGCTTGTGACTATTAAAGAAGTCCCCTGCCCTTTTGCTAAGGAGTTTATAATCCTAGTCCACCCAGATTCCAATTCAGGTACCCTTCTATTCTCTGTGAACTTTGAAGGAGTTATAAAGGTGGTCTCTGTAGCTATGTCTAGGCAGCGGCACTATTTCGGGATACCGGAAGTACCCTGAAATAGCAATTCCGTATTTTTTAATGTGCCTGTTATTTTGAAATATTTTTCAAAATAATGGGCATGCTATCCTGGCGTCCCTGTAGCCCTTGTTCCACCAGGGGTAAGGGTCTTGTTGGAATAGCCCTTTATTTCAAAACTTGGCCCTGGGTAGGCAGTGCCAAATTTCAAAATAAGCTATTTTGAAATAACCTTCAAATAAGCTATGCAATTTGCATAGTGCAAATTGGGTAGCTTATTTCGCGGTAAGGGGGCAGTGTAGATGCACCCAGTGTGACAGAGATTCATTGCACCCAGTGCTAAAACTACGGAGTAGTAGCACTAACAAACATTTGATACTTTTCACTCTAGGAGTGTGGATAAAACAATCTCTGCATTCTGCATGTCATAAAACCATATCGAGAACCCTAACGGCCATGGTATTTGATTATGCTTTAAGTTATCATGTTAGGAAAACTCAGATCACTTCTCAGTTGGTAATTCCCTCTAAGTGAGGTAGGGATAAAGCCGGCATTATGGGAAGAATTAGTAATCTTATGTAGCACAAACCTGAAATTAAGTTTTCTGGCTTCTTGAAACTGGTATGCAAAGCTATCATCTTTAAAGGGATACAAAAGGGAATGTTCTTAAAAAAGGGAGTCTGCATGGATTACTGATCACACCAGAGGCTGCTACTGTAATTTCTGCAAAAGAGCATCCCAAACTGCTCAGAAACATTTTAGGAATTCACACTGAACCACTCCAGTCCGACGCCCTCAGAACCTGACCAGCGCCGAACCAGAGAATTTGCCAGACCACGGGAAGTCAATATTGTCTAGCAGCATTATCAACACTGCCACTGCTTACTGGGCTCTTAGAAGACATTTAGGGGCAAATTAGACCAAAATGACAGCACAGAATGCAGAGATAGGACTGGTGGCTGTAAACAAACTTTATGAGACCATGGGTAACTTGACCACACCCCTGATAAGTGGACATCTGGCTAACTAACATCATGCCAGACCAGGGATATTGCTAGACTAGAGAATGCCGGACTAGAATCATAGAATAATAGGACTGGAAGGGACCTCAAGAGGTCGAGTCCAGCCCCCCGCCCTCAAGGCAGGACCAAGCTCCGTCTGCACCATTCCTGACAGATGTCTATCTAACCTGTTCTTAAATATCTCCAGAGAGGGAGATTCCACCACCTCCCTTGGCAATTTATTCCAATATTTGACCACCCTGACAGTTAGGAATTTTTTCCTAATGTCCAATCTAAACCTCCCCTGCTGCACTTTAAGCCCATTACTCCTTGTCCTGTCCTCAGAAACCAAGAGAAACAAATTTTCTCCTTCCTCCTTGTGACACCCTTTTAGATATTTGAAAACCACTATCATGTCCCCCCTTAATCTTCGTTTTTCCAAACTAAACAAGCCCAGTTCATGAAGCCTGGCTTCATAGGCTTCTCTAGACCTTTAATCATTCTTGTCGCTCTTCTCTGTACCCTTTCCAATTTCTCCACATCTTTCTTGAAATGTGGCGCCCAGAACTGGACACAGTACTCCAGCTGAGGCCTAACTAGTGCAGAATAGAGCGGCAGAATGACTTCACGAGTTTTGCTTACAACACACCTGTTAATACAACCTAGAATCATATTTGCTTTTTTGGCAACAGCATCACACTGTTGACTCATATTCAACTTGTGGTCCACTATGACCCCTAGATCCCTTTCCGCCATGCTCCTTCCTAGACAGTCGCTTCCCATCTTGTATGTATGGAACTGATTGTTCCTTCCTAAGTGGAGCACTCTGCATTTCTCCTTATTAAACCTCATCCTGTTTACCTCTGACCATTTCTCTAACTTGCTAAGGTCATTTTGAATTATGTCCCTATCCTCCAAAGAAGTTGCAACCCCACCCAGTTTGGTATCATCTGCAAACTTAATAAGAGTACTCTCTATCCCAATATCTACATCATTGATGAAGATATTGAACAGTACGGGTCCCAAAACAGACCCTTGAGGAACTCCACTTGTTATCCCTTTCCAGCAGGATTTAGAACCGTTAACAACAACTCTCTGACTACGGTTATCCAGCCAATTATGCACCCACCTTATCGTGGCCCTATCTAAGTTATATTTGCCTAGTCCTTTCCAGCAGGATTTAGCACCGTTAACAACAACTCTCTGACTATGGTTATCCAGCCAATTATGCACCCACCTTATCGTGGCCCTAAGTTATATTTGCCTAGTTTATCAATAAGAATATCATGCGAGACCGTATCAAATGCCTTACTAAAGTCTAGAGGGGTTCAAGCTGTACTCGTGCCTGCTTTCATCCCAATGTGCTAGTTTCTCTCACTCTCTGCAAATGCCTATTTGTAAATATTTATTCTAGCTGCACCTCCCAAAAGGAAGTCGATTAAAATACAAAAGTGGCATCTTGTACAGACTTTCAAACATGGTGAAATAAGTGATAGTCTCTTCCAGTGTGAATTTCTGCCATTCCTGTGCTGGAGGCTACGGCACAGTCCGTTTGAACCTAAATCAGGGTGTTACAGTTGTAATATATCATAGAATACTAGTATTGGAAGGGACCTCATAAGATCACTGAGTCCAGTCCCCTGCCCTCACGGCAGGACCAGACACCATCTAGATCATCCCTGATAGCTGTCTGTCCAACCTGCTCTTAAATATCTCCAGTGATGGAGATGCCACAACCTCCCTAGGCACTTTATTCCAGCGTTTAACCAACCTGACAGTGAGGAAGTTTTTCCTAATGTCCAACCTAAACCTCCATTGCTGCAGTTTAAGCCTGTTGGTTCTTGTCCTGTCAAAAGAGGCAAAGAACAACAATTTTTCTCCCTCCTCCTGGCGATACCCTTTTAGATACTTGAAAACCACTATCGCGTCCCCTCTCAGTCTACTCCTTTCCTAACTAAACAAGCCCAGTTCTTTCAGTCTTCCCTCCTAGCTCACGGTCTCTCGACCTTTAATGATTCTTGTTGCTCTTCTCTGGACCCTCCTCCAATCAATCCAAATGCAATAGGTTTCTCGTGACAAAGGAGTTAGAGTCTCCCAGCAGACTGACTGTACTTCCAGGGCTGGCCCCAACAGGCGAACTACTGCACTCCAAGGGTGGCAGGCAGGCAGAGGGTGTGTCAAGAGCCCAGCCAAAGCATGCTGCACACTGCCTAGCCCTGTGAGAGCTTTTCTCACTTTAGAGCAGCTCTCAGCTGCAAAATGACTTTGAGGATCTAAAGGGCTGTAACCAGTTGGCTGCAGCAGAGCACGTGTCCCAGAATTATTCTAGCACTCATTGGCTATGTCTACACTGGCATGATTTTCCGGAAATGCTTAAAACGGAACAGTTTTCCGTTATAAGTATTTCCGGAAAAAGAGCGTCTACATTGGCAGGATGCTTTTCTGGAAAAGCCCTTTTTCCGGAAAAGCGTCCGTGGCCAATGTAGACGTGCTTTTCTGGAAAAAAAAACCCAATCGTCATTTTCGCGATCGGGGCTTTTTTCCAGAAAAGACTACTGTGCTGTCTACACTGGCCTTTTTCCGGAAAAAGGACTTTTGCCCAAGCAGGAGCAGCATAGTTTTTCCGGAAAAGCAGCTGATTTCTTACAGTAGATCATCAGTGCTTTTCCGGAAATTCAAGCTTATTCCGGAAAAGCGGCTGATTTTCCGGAATAAGTGGTGCAGTGTAGACACAGCCATTCAGAAAGGAAAAAAACAGGACCATGTAGCACTTTACAGACTAACAAGATGGTTTATTAGATGATGAGCTTTCGTGGGCCAGACCCACTTCCTCAGATCAAATAGTGGAAGAAAATTGTCACAACCATATATACCAAAGGATACAATTAAAAAAATGAACACATATGAAAAGGACAAATCAAATTTCAGAACAGATGGGGGGGGAGGTAAATGTCTGTGAGCTAATGATATCACCTCTAATATCGTTAGCTCACAGACATTCACCTCCCCCCCCCATCTCCCTTATGTTCTGAAATTTGATTTGTCCTTTTCATATGTGTTCATTTTTTTAATTGTATTCTTTTGTATATATGGTTGTGACAATTTTCTTCCACTATTTGATCTGAGGAAGTGGGTCTGGCCCATGAAAGCTCATCACCTAATAAACATCTTGTTAGTCTTTAAAGTACTACATAGTCCTGTTTTTTGTTTCAGCTACACCAGACTAACACATCTACATTTCTATCACTGTTCAGAAAGCAGTACTCTAACCCGCTGCCCGGAATTCATTTGCATAGTGGGTAACGTTTAAAAAGCTGATATGATTTCTTGTGTGTCCGCAGGCTAACCTAGGAGATCAGATGTCACTTGCAGCCTTGGTGAACCAAATCATCACCACAGCAGACGTGAACAAAGATGGGAAAGTGTCTTTGGCAGAGGCCAAATCCATCTGGGCTCTCCTTCATCTGAACGAATTCCTGCTCATGCTCTCCTTGCATGAGAAAGAGCATACCTCCAAGCTGCTGGGGCACTGCGGGGACTTGTATGTCACAGAGAAGATCCCTCACAACTCCCTCTACGGTACTAATGTCCCTCACTTCTTCCAGCCATTGCTGCCTTCCGCCATCCACCGGATTATTCACCAGTGGTTTGCCCCGGCCTGGCCCAGGAGAGCCAAAATCGCCATCGGACTTTTGGAGTTTGTGGAGGAGATATTCCATGGGACGTATGGGAACTTCTACATCTGCGAAACCAGCTTTAAGAACGTGGGCTACAATGACAAGTATGACTTCAAAATGGTCAACCTGAGGAAGGTGGCAACCGAGATGACCATCAGAGGGTTCCTCAAGGGCCGTCACTGTGAGCAGAATGTGGACTGCACCTACGGGAAGGACTGCATGGCAACTTGCGACAAACTCATGAAGCAGTGCAAGAGCGACATGGTCCAGCCCAACTTGGCGAAAGTCTGTGGGCTATTGCAGGACTACTTGCTGTACGGAGCGCCGTTTGACATGAAAGAAGAGCTGCAGAAGCAGCTACAAACTTGTATGACCCTTAGCGGCTTGGCTAGCCAAATGGAAGTGCACCACTCCCTTGTTTTGAACAATCTCAAGACCTTGCTTTGGAAGAAGATTTCCAACACCAAATATTCCTAACGGGGCAGCCATAACTGTAGGCTGTAGTGTTGGTAGCCAGTTAAGGATAAAAGTTCAACCCTCATCCTTCCACTGGAGGAACTGCACTGGAAGCAGGTAGTTCATATGGCTGCAGCCCCCTTTCCTTCATGAAAAACCCCTAGCAAAGCATCAATGACCCATCCCATTCAGCAAAACCATCAATAGTGTTGTTTAGGTCTGTAAAGAACATGATGCAAAGGAGAAATACCAAGAGCCTGGGTGAATAGGTTTGGGAGGAGAAGATAGAGGAAAACGACGAGGATTGATAAGTCTAGCTGCACCTCTTTCCTTCTAATTAAGGAACAATCACTAGTGCAGAAAGAGAATGAATGATCACGCTGTAATTGTCACATCTTATTTTGATGAAAACCCCTGATGTAAATAAATAGCTTTTATGTGAACAGCATGGGTAACCTTGATAGCGAAGAGCCTTTTAAATATCAGATTTCTGGCTACTGACCTGCAGATAAATCAGTTGGGGGCCGCAAACAAGAAAGAAGTCAAGTAAGTAGCAAACAAAAAAAAACCCTCATGGACGTGGCCCCCCAACAGAAAAGGAGAAAGACATTTCCCTAGGGTGGGGGGAGGCAGCCCTGAGCCTTGCGGGCTGGATCCAGGCAAGCCAGAGGCCACATCTGGCCCCCCGGGTTTCCCTATCCTTGCTTAAAAGGGTAGATTATCTCAGCTTGGAGTGTGCACAATTTATTTGAATGTCTGAATTTGATACGGTCAAATTCAGTTAGGCTGTGTCTACACTGGGCCACTTATTCCAGAAAATCAGCCGCTTTTCTGGAATAAGCTGCGAGCTGTCTACACTGGCCCTTGAATTTCCAGAAAAGCAACGATGCTCTACTGTACAAAATCAGCTGCTATTCCGGAAAAACTATTCTGCTCCTGCTCGGGCATAAGTCCTTATTCCAGAACACTGTTCCGGAAAAGGGCCAGTGTAGACAGCCCAGGAGTCTTTTCCAGAAAAAAGCCCCGATCGCGAAAATGGCGATCGGGGCTCTTTTCCGGAAAAGCGCGTCTACATTGGCCACAGACGCTTTTCCGGAAAAAGGGCTTTTCCGGAAAAGCAGCCTGCCAATGTAGACGCTCCTTTTCCGGAAAAACTGAAAACGGAATAGTATTCCGTTTTAAGCAGTTCCGGAAATTCATGCGTGTAGACACAGCCCTATAGTGCAGGAAGCAAATAGACAAGCACATCCACACACACTTTGATTCTGGTGGTTACACCAGAAGTGACTGACCCCATAAGTAAATAGGTCCTGGCAAATTCTAGGCTGAGAGAGAACAGTTGCTACATTTGCAAGAATGGGTATTGCCTGGTGGACCATAGCATTACTCATTTGCATAATTCTTATGATTTTACAGGGAGAGGAAAGCACTAATGGCTAGAACAGTCGGATAAAACTGACCTATACAAATGCAGAAAGTCTGCAAGAAAGGACATGAACTAAATTAACATGCAGTCATATATGCCACGTAGTATATTGTATCCCTCATCTAAAAACAATGCTCAAACTCCAGCTGGAGGCCAAGTCCACCCCTTGGTTTAATTGGCACTTTTAAAATTGGCAGGATATGAGCAGGAAATGAAAGGCTAATTCCACATGAATCCACTGCTTCTCCCCCCTTCCCCGCCCCTCCACACAGGAATTTCAGGCAATTTTTTAATAGGCAACAAAACCTAGTCTCACTCATTTGGTTGTCTGAACACTACCTGCTATTGAAGTACTGACCCTTTGTTTCCATTTGTATTCACTCAGAATAATCCTTTAAATGTTCAGAATGCTCTAAACACAATGGATGGAATGGGGAGCTTGGTTTATGTAAACCATTATTAGTTGATTCTCCTTTTCTGGCAAAATTGTCCGTTCTGTTAGACTGTGTACCGATGATCTAAGCATGCGGCTTTGTGAAGTGAAGCACACAGCTGAAGTACAATCACTAGGAAAAAAAAAATCTGTCCCACAGGATATATGGCCTCTGAAAGCAGTCTTTAATGCCACAGCCGTAAAGTTATGAACCCTCTGGAGTGGAGATATCAGTCTTTTCTATTAGTTCTATAAGATCATTACCACTCAATTGTTATTTATGGGGGAAACATTTTAGTGTCAACACTGCTCTAAATCTAGCTTGCGCAGCCAGTTTAACTTGCTTCCTAGAGACAAGCCAGCTTTGCACCATGACGATTCATACTCCAGAAGGCTAAGCATCTTTTGAGGGGGGATTTTTGTTGGGTTTGGGGCATCCGCTTCATTGGAACGGCCATAGAAGTTACGCAGGATCACACCTACACCATGCATCTTTTAACAATAAGGCTGTGTTGACACAGTCCAGTTGCTAAGAGTCAGCGTGTGTGAACTAGACCCGTATGCAGGAGTGCAAAGGGTGTGAACCGGAGCATCTTTATTTCCAATGCAAGTAAGCTTGCAAGCCTCCCTTCCCCATGCTCAGCTGGCTGGGGGAAGGCTGATTTCCCTCCCTTCCCCAAGAATGAGGCTGGGGCTGGGCCTTGCTCTTGGTGGAGTGGGACACGGGGGAGAGTGGGCATGGGGAGAACTGCTCCAGGCAGCTGGGGAAAGGCTGAAGTTCTCTCACTTGGGGGATTAGGAGGGTGCGTTCTCACCTTGCGGTCCACTTTTACAAAAAAATCATCCTGCCCCCCCCCGAAATTCCTGCACACAGGCTTGTGAAATACTTCCATCACCAACTAGGGGCTTTTGCTTTGTTGGCAGTAGAGCACTCCGGCTGACATAGCAGCCTTCACACTTGCAGTGGCAACGTTCGGTCATTCATGGGTTTGGGGTTTTTTAAAGCACGTGCAGACATAGCCATAGATCTGAGTTTCTAAAGGCCTAGTGACATGCCAGATTTCCCATCTTTCACCAGTTGAGAAGTGAATTTAAACTATTTTTTATAATTTAAGAAAAAATTGACAGGTTAAAATGACTATTATATTGTTGGATTAATTGGGTAGGCCCCTTTTCTCCGTAGACTGACACTTAAATGAAGCCCCCACTACGACAGGGGGAAAAAAATCAATTTAAACTTTTTAAATTAGGTTCACTATCATTTGCTAATCTGAAAAAGCTTGGAAAATACACGCGCAGAATGTAGTTTATTAGGAACACACACAGAAGCAGAAGTGTGAAGATGACAACAGATGTTTATTCTTTATTGCACCTTGGCTAACCAGGTTACAGAGAACTTTTAGTGTTGCAAGGAATATATTTACATTACAGCATATTACAGTCACGTTCACTCACTTGTGTTTGCAGTGTCTTTGAGCCAGTGCATGGTAGAGGCTGAAGATGTACCTAGTAAACTTCAAAGTCAGAGATTCCAAATGGTTTCTTTTTCCATGTTGAAGTTTGTTAGGAAACAACCCCACAGGCATCATCTGCAAGCAAAGTGCCCCTGCATATTAGAATAAGAACTTCCAATAAATGCCACCCTCAAAACACTGACAGTGCACAAGATCCTGCTGCTAGTATACCCAGGATGTTGAACCAACGCAGGACTACTTAAGAGAATTTCATTTCTCAAAGAAAAACAGTCCATAAAATGAAACCCAGTTTTCCAGAAAAATCATGGGGTCAAAAGAAGCTTACATTTTTAACCACTCCATATCCAAGAACAGTGGGAACTGGCCAGTACGAAGAAATAAAGCAATTCATATGGACTCTCAGTGGTTACAATCTATCCCAGCACTGAAGGCCCTGACAGAAGGCCCTAAGCAACCTGAAATCTTTGACAGTGCATTTAAGTAATGAATACAGCTGTGTACAGGACCTATGTGCCAGGTTGAATTTCATTCCAAAGAATAATCCCGGTCCATTTAACAGAGGATACAGGGTTAAGAAACTATTCACAACCTCTTGACTTGACCACAACGACACTGACCCATTGGTTTCAGAGTAAGGGTCACTCAGGAAAAAGGTTAAAGACCTAATCATTTGAGACATTTTAGTAAGCCATAGACTTTTTTCAATCCTTTCTTGCTTGTGAAGGTCTTCGGAGTCCCTCTGAGTCCTCTGCCAGTTCCTTCATTTCCACCAATCATCAGCATAAAAGCAACTTTTAGCCACCTTCTACTTTATTTTCCAAGACACAAAAATTGAGTTAAAGACTCAAGCAACACTGAGTAAATCTTCTAGTTACTATATGTGGTAGAACCATGCTTAAGACAACCCTGGAAGTAAAGGCAACATAAGCTAAAGTGGGTTTCAAGACATGTTTGTGCTTGGTTAAATTATAATTTGCAACAATGCACATATGAAACCTCTCAATACATGTGCTTCTTGCCAGCTTAGTTTCTCACTATATCAGTAGTATTTCAACTTGTCCAAGTTTTTAAGTCATCCCAAGTTGATCTCTTATCGCTACACCTAGTGCAGGGTAGGCATGTAAAATCCCATTTAATTGGTTAAATGGGTAAATGTGGTGCTACCACTTTTTAACCACTTAACAGATGAAAGGGGGTTTGGGTGTTGCTCCAGCAGGACTGGAGTGCCCTCCCCACTGTGCCTGCCCTTCCCCCACTGGGGCTGCCACTGCAGCTCCTGGCCCTGACATGGGGCCGCTCCCAGGTACCCATTTAACTAGCCACCCATTAACATCCCTAGCACGGGGTAATCTATTTTTTAATCAAAATCCAAACTTCTTGGTCAAGGTGTAGTCAAGGTCCAGACTCCAGAGAAAATACTAAAATAAACACACAGCCCATTCGAAAGCATCCAGATTTGGCCCCCAGTCCACTTATTGACTACCCTGACCTAGCAGGATTGCCATAGCTCGGGACAAATCAAACTTTTCCATTGGATTTCTGTTCTGCATTCAAAATTTGATAGGATACATGAATTATCCTCAAAGGCCTGACATGGCTATGCAATTTTATAAATGCATCAACAACTGGTGAAGCGCTTAAATCAAATGTGTTGAAGTCTTAACCTACCACCTCTATTTACAGTGTGTCAAACATTTTCAGAGACATGAATTACATTTGCAGGAAATTACATATAAAAACCTGTTAAAATAACATTCAACTCAACTGACATTTCTATGGTCATCTAAGGTTGGCCCTTTCTGGACTAGCAGCTTGATGAACACAGTAGAATATAAAGCTCTTGGTTTCTCTTGGACTCATTTAGCTATACCCAGACACTGGAACAGTGACATTCATGAAGTATCATATGCAGTATCTAGACAGTGATAGGAACTAACTCAAGCATTAGCCAAATCTCTGAATTTCCTTGTACTCCTCAGTCTTAAGTCAAACCATTACTTAACTACATAGTTAGTCCAAAAGTCATTAGCTTACATTTTGCTCTGTACCTTAGACTGTAATTATGCGGATATCCCTGCCCCACAACTGTCTTGATTCTTAACTGGCTACCATTTTACTACAACCCCCCTTGAGACACAGCTATTCAATACACTATACCAAAAGCCGACCCCTTCAACTTCTCACATGTGATATGAACAGATACACAGAGGAAGTCACAAAAACATTTTTCACAACATTTACTTTTGAGTGTTCAACATATATGAGACTTATTTACAGATTAAGCCATAGAACGGAATGAGTCTGGATTCTGATGTATGAGTCAATGTGAAACCAGGCTTCTTTTCAAAAGATGTCTTACGAAGTCAGAACCATGGATGAGACCCCTATGAAGGTGGAGCTCATATCTGGATTGCTGTCTGGCTATGGGAAGATAATTAACTAGCACCATTAACACGTTGGGAAAGCCACTCAACGAGCAAAACTTCTGCACAGAAGCGATCTTAATACCGTGCAATTTTTACTTAAAACCTTGTTTTTTTACCTAATGTCAAGATTTGGCACCAGATTAATTGACATGTTCAAACCAGTATCTCCTTGAGTCACTGTATTTTAATCAAATGCTAGATTTCTATGCTACTTTCTGATTTTCTCAAATCTCCCCTTTCCTCCAGAGTTGGGGAGAGTCTTTCTGAATCCCCCCAGATGTGCCTACTGGCCCATGTGTCCCCCTGCACATCCCCAGCCCCACCTGCCGCCCCAGATGATTTAACCCCTCTGGGAATCCCTTCCATCAGCTCAACAGGACAAGGGTGGCTTCCAGCGGCTTGTTCCCCACCACTGCCTGCATGTGTCTGTGGCATGAGGGAGGTGTCTCTCTACCCCAGTGAAACAGAGCAACAGCCTGGGAGGTGGTGGCAAAGTGGAGCAGAGGCTGCTGCATTGCTTTGCTTCTCAGTGGCAAGTGCAGGGTGGCCAACCTCTGCTGCTACCCCAAGACAGGCCCTCAGGTAATCTGAGGCCTCCTCCCTTGAGGGAAGGGGTGCAATGAGGGAGGGGAGAAGAGGGTGGAGCAGGGACTGTGATGGGGGAAAGGTATGGGCACCCTCCGGGCTGTAGTGACTCGCGTGTCAGCAACCACGTGCAGTCCAGACTGCCACTGCTATGGGGCAGTGCCTTTTCCCCAATGAAATGGCTTTTTGCAGCCACTAGTTACTCACTTTGGCCCCTCTAACACGCACTCAATAAGGGCATTTTCCAACATTAAGTACTACCAGATTTTGTCAGGCTATTAGTCAAGGCCTTCAGGAGTTTTAGAATGCTGAATCCAACTACGGCCTATTCCTGTTCAGTCACCTTATAACAGCAGTGCAGTGGTGGGCTATCTGCACTGTACTCCAGAGATGAGATAGGGTTGCACAATTATTACGACATGCTCCTATCTTTGCTCTCTAATAATTTACAAGTTTGGAGGTCAAGCTTCTTTGCAGATGTATTCACATATAAACTCAGTAGAAAAATACTACACAAGCCAGTTCCACCAATTTTAAATAGACCTTCTCTTTAATCAAAGTATTCCACTGTCTTATTCCTCTCTTATGAAAGGGCTTCACTGAATTTCTGCAGTGTGGCCTGGATATTGAAAGTGTATTCTTTGATCTATTCCTTTATAATGTCTAAATTAATTTCTATATTCAAACCTGTGACATGACGAATGCTTTTGCTGTGTTAGAAAGGATTTTGCACAAAGCAGGCTGCGGCATGAAACCTCTTTTCCTTTATTTTGATATACATCTTAGTAAGACATGGAAACATACAATCAGCGACATGTTCTTTAGCAAATGTGTCTACTGCATTTAGCATAATTTTGTCAGCGAGACATAAGAAAAATGCTGTGCTTTAATAACAAAGTTAACTATTATATTAATGCATCCAGACCATTTTAATTTGAAACCGAACAGTCCTTAAATGTGCTGATTATTTTAAAGGGTAAATGATTTTCATTTGCCAAAACAGTTAGTTAAAAACCTTAACACAAATCCAATCTCTACAGAACAGTCTGATGAAAATCAAACAAACAGCTCCTCACTTCTCCTCTTCACAATAACATTGTTTAGCTGCTATACATGTCTGCATCCATTCCTTAAGGATACAGGCTCAAAGCAGCCAATGCTTCCTGTCTGCCTCCTTCTGGCATAAAGACAACACTGCAGTCGTATTTATGTCTCTTCGGGGCAGATTAAAAAAGAGTGGCCTTTCCAAATGAAGTAGCAAACATCTCCCTTAGCTAGATGAACTTAGAGGCTCCACAATGCTAACATGCTAGTGATGGCCTACCCTGTGCCAGAGGATTAAGCAGTGTTAGCACACAAATGTGAGACAGTTTGGTTTCTAAGTTAGTTGCTGTTATCAGTAAATGTCATTTGAAGTAATACAGTTGTGCTTGTATGCATATGAATTTTAATGCTTAATATATTCACATTTAAGCATAATAAAACATAGTTTGAGCACTCATGTTCTATCAGTTTCCTACATTAGCCAGAAAAAAAGTTCCAGCTCACTCCCAGCGGACAATGATATACCACCATGATTGTTAGATATATACCCAATTTTTTAGTTTTATAAAAAGAATTTACAGGTTGAATTTAAAAATTCTTCTCAGACTAATTAACCCAAATATAATAAATATACGCAAAAGCACAGTGCTGAAAGAACCAAAGTGTGAAACTGATAACAAAAGTGAAGCTATCAATCTATTGCCCAAAATACACTGGGGACAGTAAGGGAGAGAAGGGTGACATCAGAAAAAATGGAAGATATTTCAGTCATTTAAGTTTATCAGTAACCTAGACAAGGACATTCTTTTATAAATATGGTCCCTCCCCACAAATCTGACCATGATGTTCCTTAAATATCAGGTTTTAGGCTCCAACTTACTGCACCAGCAGTGATGATGTGCCTGTAACATTAAATTCTGATTTTAAGGATGCCATAATACATACCTTTAACAGCATTTATATTACACAATTTCAAAGGAAATTAATGCTGTCGTCCTCAGAAGCAACTGTGAATAGGAGACAGAATATCAAACATTTGCAGAGCAAAGCACTGATTTTAAAATACTTCAGAGGATTTCTCTATTTTAAAATTACCCATTAAAATGTAAAACCCACTCAAGTGTTTTTATTTGCATGTAGGCATTATATTAACCCAGCAACATTCCTAGAATTCATGTGGTATTTGCTCACCCCCACCTTTTTGAATTATACAGGTTACACATTGCTCAAAGATCTCTACATGCCAACAAAATAGACACAAATATTTCTACTTCAATTCATAAATAACCAGAATTTACCTCTTTGGGCTTTCATTAACAAGTATGCCTATTCTCACAACCCAGAACTGAAGATAATGGATTAACATCTCAATAGAAGCATTACTTATGGTTTGTCTACATGGTAAATTAGGCAACAAAACTATATAGCAGTAGAATTAGATTGTTACAGACATAATGCAACAACTCGTCATGTGGCATTCTTATTCCAGGATAAGAATGTCCTTTTCCTATATAGCTTAAATTGCTGCCAAAGAGACATTAGATAAACTGGAAAAGTCACTCTTATTCCAGATACTTAGCATTTATATGATTGTTTTTGTATAACCAAAACACTCAAGTATCAGAGGGGTAGCCGTGTTAGTCTGAATCTGCAAAAGCGGCAAGGAGTCCTGTGGCACCTTATAGACTAACCGAAGTGTTGGAGCATAAGCTTTCATGGGCAAAGACCCACTTCGTCAGATGCAAGTGAGGTATTAAAACATTATCTCCAATTTACAGATAGCAGAATGGACACCAAGTGGCAATTTCCCCAAGACCAAAGAAAATTGTTTCAATAGCAAGCATAGGACTGAAGTTCCTGAAAATAGAACAGTCACATTTACTTGTCCTTGCACATAAGGATATAGGACCTATTCCCGGTGCAGCTAAAATTAGTGTACTTATAACTGCCTTTCAAAAGACATTTGCTCCATCTTCCACCGATTCTCTGGATAAATGCATACTTACTTAGAAACAATGTCAGGCTACTAATCATTCTGAGTGCTCACAATTTTCAGAACACTGAGTGTAGACATAGTCTCTTCCTCTCTGCCACCTAATGACACACACATGGCATGACAGCCACATGTGTAACGCCTCTTGGTGCATGGGACTATTATCATACAGAATGCTGAAGAGAAGCAGTGCTTCTTCTAAAATAAAAATCAAAGCATCAATAAACCAAAAAGAAAGCCAAAATAGGACCTCAACCATGAGCCTGAAATTGACATAATCACTCCTAAATTCCCTTTGTTGTTCAAAATACAGGGTATTTTAGAAAATGTATAGAGCTGCTGCATCTCATAAGCAGCTCCTCTGAGCTCTCCTCTCAGCATCTCTGCAAACTAAAGCAATGCAAATACCTGCCATTTTGCAGTTTAGAGTTGCACATTAAGGACTAGGCTAGCTACTTCCAAGTTCTGATCCAGACAACACATAAGCGTGTTTTAACATACCAGGTTCGTGTGCATTGCCTACACTCTAGGTGGTCAACATTGCTTGCAAACACAGTCCAACTCCTGTCTACATACGGGTTTAGCTGATGGTCTCTGGTGTATTACTTACAACGTACACACATTGTCTCCATGCTCACCTCATTTCTATAAGGCAGACTTCTTGGACCCCGGTATCATTTGCTTCTTCTGTCCCAAAAGACAAACACATTGTAAAACAATTGTAATCGTTCTAAAACTTGACATGGAAAGGAATTACAATTCCAGTGAGATGAAAAGGAGCTATGTTTGGATCTAGGATATTTCAGAGTTCACAGAAGTAGAGTTTGGATTCAGGCTCACCTCTGCAAACAAATGGAAATGAATACCCATCTAGCACATTATTCCCCCCATTAAAGGATCCCAGTCATGCAGAGTGAAATATAAGGACAGCTACACCTACAATTTTAAAGTTTGCCAAACACTGAGTAAACTGCAGTTCAGGAAAAACCTGGTCACAAAGGCTTATGAACAAGTTTGCAGCGCCCCACTCTTGCTGATCAAAACAGTGAATTTTCCCAGAAGACGTTGTTCTTCCTCTTTTTGATACTTTAAAACCACAATCTTCAGGGGACACTCAGGTGACTTGTAATTTCAGCTCCAACTGTCACTAAAAAATGGCTAGCCCCTAAACAGTGCATTACCAGCCGATAGCCACAACAGGTTAGTAGGTGCCAGTCCAACACAGGACAAGTGTCCGCACTGCAAAAGGCATCACCGTAATTTTTCCCAACAAAACGGGTAGACACACCAATTACCTTCTTACAGAGATGAATGCACTAAGGCAGAGCAGAGAAGCTATCCCTGCTCCTGTATGTAATACCTGCACTTAACAGAAAACTTACATCTCCACAGCTCTGAATCTTGCACCTTTCACTAACATTTTAAACAACTTAATGAAAAGAAACAAAATTAAGTGTCAGGCTGCTAATCATTCTGAGTGCTCACAATTTTCAGAACACTGAGCGTAGACACAGCCTCTTCCTCTCTGCCACCTGATGACACAAACATGGCACAGCAACCACATCTGCAACGCCTTTAGGGGCATATAGTGAAATCTGTATGAAATTAATGGCTCACCTCATGTCCAGGAGAAAATCTCCTGCATTTGTAGTAGTCACATGTACCACCCTGTAAAAACAGCAGCAACAAAAAATAAACGCTGTTTATAATACTCACTGAGACATACCTCAGAGGCCCACTACCGGTGTATCAGTGGGTTGCTGAAAGTAGTTTGGAAGACTAAGCTCTACAGCCAGACTGAATAATCACTTTTTTAATCTTACAAGGATAAAACAGCTACTTCTTTTGCAATTAGTTTGACTCTCCATAGTTTACTTATAAATGTAAGGCTATTAACCATTCTGAGTGCTCAAGGGTTTCAGAACACTGAGTGTAGACAAAGCCCCCTTACTCTATGCCCCCTGCAGACCAAAGATGACATGGCAGCCATCTTGTACGACTCAGGGCAGGGACCCATTTAATGTCAATGGTTGCATATATAAAAAGCAAATTGCGAAGATTTAAACTATATCAGTGAAGGTTCTGACGCACACTGAGCCAATAAAACAAAAATATTTGACATCAGTAAAGCCTTATAATTTCTTTATGCCTGTTTGTTCGTGCACCTAACTTCCCCTACATAACACTGCCACAGGACAACATGCAATCATTTCTACCTCAAACCCATATGTGCTTAGACTGGAATAATGTACCTGATTCTCAAGCAGACGCACTGCTCATTATAGGTAATTGCAAAGCAATGAATGGAAGACATTGAGCACCAATGTCACGTTTTAATACTGAGATTGTCTTGCAGACTGTTCCCTCCCCATTTGTAATCATACAACTAACTTACCTCTAGGACCTACAAGAAAAGTAACGTTAGGAAAATAATTCATGTATTTTCCATGTAATTTAGAAGCTGCAAATAATAACTAGCAGTAGGCAGCAAAATGTGCTTCATAATCACCATAACTTAAGGTAACTTTCTACTAGGCCTAAATTCACTCACTGGGTCTCTTTTCAGGACTCCACCTCCTTTCATGCCAGGATACTTTTGCTAAACATGAAAAAGAAAAAAAAAATCAGAAAAAGGGCATCATCAAACAGCTGCCTCCCACAAAACCAACATTTCTCTCTTCCTCACCCAAGAGCTCCCTTTCCTGAAAGCCCACTCCCCATTGCAACCTACTTTAGACCCCAACATCCCCCTCCCTCTGCACCACTTCACCATGGTCTGCACCATGACAGAGCCAGTAGGGGCACATGAAAAAGAAAAAAAAAATCAGAAAAAGGGCATCATCAAACAGCTGCCTCCCACAAAACCAACATTTCTCTCTTCCTCACCCAAGAGCTCCCTTTCCTGAAAGCCCACTCCCCATTGCAACCTACTTTAGACCCCAACATCCCCCTCCCTCTGCACCACTTCACCATGGTCTGCACCATGACAGAGCCAGTAGGGGCACC